GGTGTCTGTGGAAAACTTTCTACCATTAACACTTGTATAAAACACAAATCTCACTTCCAATGCATTTCCCATTGACTCTTGAAACAGAGCCAATGAAACTCATCTTCAGAGAGGGAAGAGCATGCATGGAACACTCAGACTGACACAAGACTAGTCGTACATTTTTAAGAGGCACTTAAAGATTTAGGAGTGAAAAATCTGCAGTACACAAACACACTTAGAAGTAGGCACAAACTCAAAAGGATGACATTCGACACTCCCAAATCATCGGTGGTGTTTGAAACCCTGGCAAGGATGTGTACCTTGGCCCATCTTCAACCTCTACCTGTGCCAGAAATAGCACTGCAACACAGATGGAGAAAAGGAAAAGCAACAATATTCTGCATTTACATCTTATTTGACATTATCTCAAACATTAAAACCAGGAGAATATCTTTAAAAGCAGCTCAGCAAAGCGGCCATGCCTATGTTTTCTTCTCTTCTGGCACAATAAAGAAACTGCAAAAGCTGCACTAGAATCAAGTGTGTGTTCTAAACAAATGTTTATAAACAGAATGTAAGAAATTTGTCTGGCTGATAAAAACTACCCTTTCTCTCACTGGAAAAACAATGTCCTTTTGTCTGCCATGCTTGTGGTAAAAGAAAACAAATAAGATTTTGGCAGAAATGCTAATATGGACTAAAAAAATTTGGCAGCCAACCTGTTGCTCTTAGCAGTCAATGCTTCACATGTCAGGTTTTACTTTTTGTCTGGAAAATAAGCTGTGAAAAGCTCAGGCCTATGTGAGACACTTCTTCGGGATTCAGACTTTGGGCTCTTTTTTAAACAAATCAAAGTCACCTTGGGAGATTTTAGCCTATTTGTGGCTTCTTCCTTCTATTTTTATGCCCAGTGAAAAGGAAAAGGAAAGAATCCACATCAGAACAAGCCACTAAAGGGCCACACACAATCTGCTTCTTAAACCGTGACTGCTTCAAGCAAGAGCTGCTTTCCACACTCATTTCCTTCCCAGCCACCAAAGTGGAAGCAGTTTTCAAGCATGGCTGGCTGCACCATCTCTTAGAGCAGCGAATTCTGAGTCACCGTGCGGCATTCAGCCCTTGGCCAGCACATCCCATCTCCCACTCCTTCTGGTGGCAGTCTAGCTACAGACTAGTGCTGGACACTGGAATTATCCTCCCTGCCTTTATGGCCCATTAGCTTCAATTTCTGGTGCAGCAGAGTCGGTTCTTAGTTGGATTTAGCTCAGCTGCTAATTGTCCCAGCATCTGAATGCACTCCATGTGAAAATCAATAGCAAACCTGAAACACTTTTAGGTCTGCATAGACACTCTGGAATTTTTCCCATTTTGTACTCACAGACCTCAAGGAGTCAATGAAAACAACCATGACTTCTCCATGTTCATTTTGGTTACTGTGAAAATAAAGCTTTTCCTTGTAGTTTCCTTGCTTTTCTTTTTGCAGTACAGGGGATATCATGGTGGATTAAATTCATCATGAAGAAAATGAGCCCCTTACAAAGAAATACACAGAGGCAAAAAGCACTGCAAACGTCCCACACACCATTCCACTCTTGTTTTGAAGGAACAGCCTAAAGTCAAAGGCTAATTTATTCATTATGCCCATTTAAATTTTCATGTCCCCTTAGGCTGCCAACAAAAACACCAGTTAATGTGAAATGCAATCCTGCTTTTTATTCCAGATGTAGATATCTGTTCTTTAGAAAATCCAAACAGGCTGACAAGAGCCACAACTTAAAATGATGATATATCTAGAGAGAATTTCAAGATATGTTTGTGAATACAAGCATTTCTGACACTGATCTCAAAGATGCAGTTTCACTTTTAATGTACACAACCAAAAAATCCTGAAGTGCTGCATCCATTTTTTTTAAAGCAGCAAAATATTATCAATGTGCAGACATCAGAGCCTTCTGACAGTTCTAAAATTTCCATTGCTCACCAAAATAAAAGAATAAAAAAAAAAAATCTTAATCCAAGCACAAACAGCCTTTTTCATTACTATGACAATGAAGTCACCTAAAGAAAAATGCCGCTACCAGAGTGTGGGACACAGGCAAACAGCCAAGAAATCAGAATCAGCTTGGGTTAATCTTGAGCCCGAGTTGTTGTTTATCTGGTAAGCAGATCAAGTGTTTGAGCTCTGGAGAAACAAGTTCCCTTTCTTTGGACAACTTCTTTACCTACATGTCACCACTACTTGATGATAATGAACACAAGTCTTTACAAAAATAAAATCACTTTTTAAATGATTATTGGCATCAATACGCACAGTACATTGGCAAGCTACAGAATTTGTCAGATGTTTAAAACACCAAAAACACATAGCAAGCACACAATCTAAGTCATAAGACACAATAAATATCTCCCAGATACCAGATAAACCAGATCTTGTCAGTCAGTTACTATTCACAGAGTTTTTTGGTTCTCCAGTACTAAAAAGACCTGGGAATGTTATTAAGAGACCCCTGACAAGTCCTCCTGTGAAGTTGGATGTTGAACCCCCCCCCCACCAGCCACCTCAATTTTTTCAAGGAAAAATTACTGCTTCCCTCAGCATTTTATCAGGTGCTGTGCAATTGCCCCAGTTCAGGATCACCAGTAAGAAAAAATGTGGCTGTTTACAGCCAAGCCAGAGACATGAAAGGAAAGAATGGATGGCGCCTGTCCTGCTGCCCAGCTCCATGGAAAGCTGGAGAGACCAAAGGTGCCAAAAATGCTTAAGTGTCTTTTATCAAAAGCTTGAAGAATAAAAGACATAGCAGCATTTCCCTGCTGCTTAGCACAACACTGGCACCTTGTTACCCACCAAAGGCAAATAAACACATTTACATTTAGGATATAAAAACAAATACCCACAAAGAGGTTCGATTACCAAGTCCTTAGTACATTGGGAAAAAGAGAACACCTACCTCTGAAAAAATCCGTGTGAATGCAGTCCATGTTTCCACTGGTACCTCCATGATCATGCAGGCTAGAAATGGTGATGTTAAAAGGAAAGGCAAAATTCCCAGAGAACCAGAAAGCTGAGAGGATTTTGACCTACCTTTGTGAATCCCTGCTGGTTGGCATTTATCTGAATTAACTGACAACATGACACAGTGATGGTGAAGTCCTTTATTGACAGCTCAGACTCGCACATACAGCTCAACAGACAAAAACATAATGTACCAACGAAAAACAGAAATAAAAAAGTGAATCTATACTTCAAGAATCAATATTGCTCAAGATGGTGATGCTGTAGCTCGCTGAGCAATGCCTGGTTTACTGAGACGACATCTGAAAACTTACCAAGGCATAATATTATTATTCCCATAAAAAAATAAAGGAATTTTGTATTCCTCAGCAGCAGAGTCTCCAGTGGCTTCTGATAGAAGGTGCATAATTACAGCAAAGGAATAACAACCCACTACTGATGATCATTAAGACAGACAGGACACGACATGCTTCCAAGAGAGAGCTTCTAGTTATGTTTCAGAGACCTGATAAGATGTCAAATGCAATAAACTAAATTGCCCGAGACAAATAACTCTAATTTCATCTTTTTGATACCATTATATCTGCTTCCCCACAATGCATCCTAGTGCAGCCCATGGGACATAAATTTACCCAGGACCAACTTGAATTCATTTTACACTTAGCAAATACATGAGGCATTCAGTAAGCATTGCACCAGATCTAATATTGTTGCTTGCTATACTAAAGTAGTGCACAAGTAATTAATGCTGATTTTATATAAATGCTTATCAGTTCCAAGTAACCAGGGGTTATTGGTGCTCAGAACTCCATGTGCAGAAAGCAATGACCATACTGCACTGCAGGTTTCTCCTTCATTCCCAAATTTCTCCAAGTATTGCCTCCCTTTCATAACTGAAGGTTTTTTAAATGTCTAGCTCCTCAAATTAAAAAAAAAATAAAAAAATTCCAGAGTGGCCACAAGCGGCAGCATTTTGTTTTAATGTTAGCCAAGAACTTTCTCTTTTCAAAGGCTAAAATAATGCTGTGGAGTTCTCTGGGGAATAGAAAAGACCTTTTAGTTCCCACAAAGACACTTATTCACTGATAGAAAGCAGAACTTGTACACATGGATATGTTTGTGCTTCTGTTCACAAAGACCTGTGAGACAGTAAAACTGCAGCAAGCTCCAGGAAAGAAACAAATTGGTTTGTTTTCTTGCTTGGTTACAACACGTTTATACCACATCTTTCAAAATACCTCTTACTTAAAACTCAAATCAGAATAATTAAGTGCAACCGAGGTTTCAGTTGGACAGATTAGCTCTTTAACTGAAATATGCCCAAACTCAGTTCACTGGATCAGTTTCAGGTGAGTCTTTGTTTCTCTATGACATTTCTTTGTCAGCAAAATCCCAGTGCAGACAAAGGAAAATCAGGAAAAACAGCAGAGAAAGCAAAAGTGGTTATATGCAGCCCATAATGGAAAGTCTGTAAAAGGCAAAACCAGAATTTTTACCAAAAATCTAGTCAGAGAACACTTAATTTTTGTGTTCAATACAGTCTGGGGTTTTAAACTCAAAACTGATGGAAGAAAAACAGATAACAATCCATTAGATTCCATAATCTTGTCACAACTAGGAAATTCGGGGATAAATCTCAGTTCCACATCAGTGAAATCAGAACTTGCACCAGATCATTATACCCCCAGACATTTCCTAATCAATAGGTCTCTCTTCCTCTTCACACCCTTAATCAAAAAGATGAAGAAGCATGACTTCCACTCCAATGGAAATAACTAGGAAACAGTGACATTTTTCTAAGCCAGAATCCTCTTCCTTGAACCAGCCTTTGTGAGGATCCTTCCAAACAGCTTTGCATTACCATCCCTAATTGGTATTAACAGGAATTGCTCTCTGTAACCATCGCTCTCCCATCAACCCACACTGTCCTGAGGGATTTCACAGACAGCAAAATGACAACAAACATTCTACAAAATTATAATCGATTATCAGTGATGTGAAAAAGCCATCAGTAGGAGAGCTACTGCAAATGAAACATAGCTGGGTTTTCTTTGATGCCTCTGTGTGGGTGGCAGCAGCAGAAGCTCCAGCATTTTGTTCACAGCATATTTACAGACATTATTTCCCAATGCAAGATAAGGCCTCGCATACCTCCAGATCCATCTGGCTGCCAAGGAAGGAGCTGTTTAGGGATCAAATCTGGGTTTAGCTTCCTCAGAGTTACTTAGTGGTATCATGTCTCAGAAATCAGATGCAATGCATCACTTTATAATCAGCATGTAAAACAGACTTTCCAGTGATCAAAAAAGATATTTCAAGAATGATACTTAAATGTTTCATTCATCATCACCATTATATTATTACTATTATTAAGACTTCTTTTATAGCAAATAAAGTAAGTTTAGTCAGCTAGCTAGACACAGGTTCTTTAATTTCTCTGTCAAGACAATCTCAATAGAGGGGAAAAAAAAAGGGAGGAAAATCCTCATTAAATATGTACTCAAATTAATTATTTGCACGTTTCTTATTGAATCTAAATTGAAATACCTTTTGCAACATGCTGGCCATTTAAATGTCAATTCTTCATGTCCCCTTCAGTTACTTACCTAAAAAAAAAGAAAAACAGGAAAAACACATTAATTTTCCATGCTCTCAGATGTATCATGAACACATACACCTTGCTCTCCATGGCTCCCCAGTAAGTTTTCTGTGGTTGTAAGTTAGGTAAGACAATTAGGATAATGGTTTTTGGTTGTTACATTAGTCTAGATGACATGTTCCCACTTTGCCTCAGCAAAGCATTCAGAAATTGAATTTTAGATCTTTTTTTCTTATTATTGCTTTTTTCCTTTTTTTTGCTACTTGATGTCCTCAACTTGATTTTCATACTCTGGAAAAAGTCATTATTGCAGTCACAGTAATGGAAATATGAAACATTCAGCAGAAGAACCCCAATGTGGTCTTCAGTACAGACATTTGTGCAACTTCTTAACAGACACTAGCAAAACATATTTTGGGCAGATAGAGCACAGGACAGCACACCCTCAACACTGCCATGCCTGAAATCATAACAGAACTGCATCTTCTAGTTAGGAACAGCAAAGGAAGCACGTGCACAACAGGCTCATCATTCTCCTCCACAGAAACATGGGGTTTTACACCTTTACACACTGCATCTGATCTCTGTAAAATCCTTCCAAACCTGAAAAACAGGCAGGTGCGAGTTCAGAACCTGCTAGAGGTTCTGTCCCCTCCTTCTCAGCCCCAAGCTCTTGTCTTGAGCAGCCAGATGGAAAAACCTCTGGCTCAGCCTGGCAGCAGCCCACAGTTACCCAGCAGGACGACGCAGGCTTGAGAATCCAGGCTCAAATCCAGGTGATGGTACTGCCCTTCCCCATCACCCACGCAGGAGGCTGGGCTACAACCACACGTGTCAGGATCTGCCAATCTCAAGTGATTCTCAGCTCCTGTTTCTCCCACCCACACGTCATCCAGCACTCTTCTCTGCTGCATTTATCATTATTGCCTTTCTATACTCAAGATAATGTTAACAGTTTACAATACATCCTATAAATGGTAAGACAGATTTACATGGTCCTTAACTACCAAAACTATATCCTAAAAGAGAAGAAAACCATTTCATATTTCATCCATAGCACCACTTCTGCCATGTGCCAGTTTTTTAGATGTTTTCTTAACCAATGCAGGTTGAAAACTGTAAAAAACACAGGTGAAACCCTTAACAACTAAATACCTTTCATATTCCATAAAGAGCTTGTCTGAATTTCTTTCAACTCCTTATTTTTCAGCATTAAGCTTGCCCAAGATTTCTGAGAAATTTCAGATGGAAATATCACTTTTTCCCATAATGTGCTCACACTGAACAGAGCGTACAGGCTCAACATTCACTCTGCCTGCACGCAACTAACTTTATTTTAGACTGAATTTTAAATCCCTGCCAAATTCAGACATCTCCTGCACAAGTTCTTCTGCTTCCACCTCCTGTCAGCCTCCTCTGTGATGCCTCCAAATCAACCCTTTTTTGTTTTCAACCTGGCAGATCTCTCATTATCCTCCTCTTCCAAAGCAGCACATTTTGGTCCTCTAGTCCCCATGTGTACACATGTTCAGCCTTTAAGGGCAGTGTAAGTGCCAGCTACAGCTCAGACCTCTCCAGGATATGAGCCCATTTCAGAATACATAACACTGCTCTGCTTTAGCTACAGGAGGTACTGAGCTGGGTTGAACATATACTACTGTAGATTTTTGTCCTTAAAAACTCAAAGTTATAATTGCCATCTGACTAGAATTATCTGATGAATCATGCTAGCTGTCAGGTTTGGTTCATTTTCCTCCCTTTTGAGGGGAAGCATAATTTTCAAGGTTAAAGAGAAAATAAATTGATTCTGCAGATCACAGGCACTCCCAGGGCTAAGGTCCCTACAGTAGTTTGTAATGATTACCCACATACCCATTCCACAGGAAATTCTGAGTTATAATCAAAACTTGATGGACTTTTCTTCAGTGCTTGCTTTAGAATTTAAGAAGTTGGGAGGGTCCCCCACAACAAGTACATATTAAACTTCAAGTGCTACAGTTAAAGCTTATTTCTGAGGAAATATACCTTTGTGCTTTGCCATTTGCAAAGTGTTCAACTGATCCATTCGCCTGGGGCTTCGACCAGAAAAGCCAAAATTAAGACAAGCACCCCTTGGTGCTCCTTAAGATCAACCAGCAGGAGCGCACATCCTTCTGTCCTTTGCCAGTCTAGATGGGATCACAGCCTTCCACTCAAATGACGTCTACATTTCTCCTTTATCAGCAAAAACAATGACCAGACAGACTTCAAATGAGGTGACTCACTGGCAGATAACAAATCCCATTCCATTTCTTCCACATAACAGCCTTCATTCTGCACCGTTTGCAACCCAAGGCATCTCAGGCTGTACTGAGTCAGGAACCCTGAAGTAAAACCTGTCCAGACTTCATTTGGCATCCCAAACAATTCCTTTCAGAAACACCCAGTAGCAGGTGCCGTACCACCACCTTTATCCATGCAACCCTAAGCCCCACCTCCCCTCCAGTTTCAGAGGGGGACAAAGATGCAATATAGTTACTGTCAATCAGGGAGCAAATCTGTCTAACATTTAAACGTCGAGCTTCCCGTGAAATAGGATTAGCACTAATGGATGAAGCTATCTCCTGTCTGCCTAACAAAAGAAATGATCCTGCAAACTCTGACCAGAATTGTATTAACTACCAATTACAGACATAAATATAGCTATGAGACTGCAATCGTATTTTTTTTCCTGCTGCTGCAGAGGACTTGAAATGAAAGTAGTTCCATCCAAATCAATATACAGCCATCTGCTCTGCAAAACGCTGACAAATCTCCTTCCTTCGGGATCTGTGTCCCCCAAATTAGATGAAGAAGTTGCCTTACCTTGGCAATCCTCATTCCAAGAGTCAGCAGAGGCTGGTAAAGTTCTGCTGTCTTACACTGATGCCTGATAAGTGCTTTGGCTCATCCTACATCCACCAAATAACTGTGTTCTTTGATTCCCATGCCAGGTTCTTGCATCTGCTCAGAGCGCCTCACGCAAGAAGCCGATGCTGTGGTGTGCTTTTTAAAAGTCACTTCAAAAAGCCATTAACACAGAGCAAGCTGAAAGCCAAAACAACAGCCTACAAGAAGACAGAGTACTTTTATTTAGAGACTGAATGGATGATCCCTGGTGGAACTGTATGGAGGACTCTTCTTTTAGGCATCATATGCATAGGGGTAGAAGCACATTAGCTGACAGAACCTTTGCTTCATATTTCCAAAGAAAGCCATAGCCAGGGAGATTCATGCAGCTCAGTTTTCAGAGCATTTGCAGCGGTTCAAATCCACACCTGGTTACCACTTCTAACATAAAAAGTAAAATATTAAACCCTACAGAGCAGTAAACATCGAATATAAATCTCAGCTTGTATCCTGGGACCATTCTACATTGCCTAAAATGTTAAACAAAATTAATGTCTTTTTCTGCTCAAGCACTTTGAAACCAGCTGCCCCTGCATCCTCCTCCTCAGGAGCTCCACAGCGAGCTTCTGATCTTCTGCAGCAAATGGTCTGGGCATGCTGGCCGTGCACCGATTCCCTGGGGTCAAGGAGAAGGGAACAAAGCTGCCTTTGTGCACATTCCTTGGACGGCAGCGAGAGCTCGGTCACAGATGCAATAGCAGCAGGGACAATCGCAGTGTGCCCAACCATTAAAACACTGACAGCACCGACCCCTCCACTGTCACAGGCTTGCTAAGTCCAAAGCTCTTCTCAAGACCGTGTGTTTAAAAAATCCTCCCAAAAATTGCTCATGTCTAACTGGAGCTTTATCATTTCAGAGCCCACTTCTGCAAACTCTTTGAAGCCATCAGTGCTATTTGTAAGACTAGAAACACTGTCAAAACAGGAATTTATTCTCTCTTCCTCCTAAGCCTAAGGACCACTAAAGGGATTTTAATAGGTTTTGAACCATTTAAATCCACTGTGCTCTTGCAGGTGTTTTATGTTATCAGCAAATTCATGGTCCTGCAAATCCCAGTTAAATCTTGAGGGTGGGCGGCAACTCAAGATACCTTTTTATACATAGACACACTACCTACATGAAGTTATTGCAGTATTTTGCATTTGGCTTCATTTACTGTCATGACAGCAATCTTCTTAAAAGCACTAAAGTGCAAGACTAATATTTGAATCCAAGCTACCTCTGAAGTCAATCTAGGTGTTAGTGGCAAAGTAATCTATTTAATCCTTTAGGGAAAGGGAGATAGCTAATAAGTAATGGAAATTCAGCCAAAGGAAGATCTCCACAAAGCTACCCAGCCACAGAAGATGGGGCAGTAAAAAAGTGTAGTACTGAAATACTACAGTTTTTCTGCCTTCCTACCCTGCTGCAGTCCTGATCCCACCTGCTGTGCCGGCTCCCAGGCTGAGGGCGAAGGGGCAGCTGACTCGAGGCCAGCTGCAGCACCAAAGCTGTCAGGTGAGAACACAAATCCCACACAGAGGGGATTCAGCAACAGGTAGTGCAACACAGTTTTTCTCTGCTCCATAATACAGAGTGCAGAATTTGGCCTGTGATATTGAGCTAGAGAGAAAGGTGAGACGAAGAACTGAGGGAACAATCGATCGATCTGACATTCCTCACCTCCCTGAGTAGGTTTAGAGACTGCAGTTACTCATTAATGACCAGTAATTAGATAATTGTCCTCCATAAATGTACACTGCTGCTTCCACTGAGAGCATTTGAAACAACTCCTTACAGGAATGACTGCTAATTCAATCCCCAGTTATTGATAAAGCAGTTGATAGCACTTATGAATTTTGACACATTTTCTGAGACACCTCAGAACTTCCTTGCTCCGTGACCCGAGAAGACCTTGCTGTCCCTCCCAGGACAGGTGTCCTCTGGTGACAGTGCTCCCGGTATCACAAGGGACTCTGAGCCCCAGGCATACTGTGACATTCACCGGGTGCCAAGCTGCCTGGGACGTCAATAGATGCTTTGGAAACTAAGCTGAAGGACGCACGGCTGAAGCCCCAACTTGCAAGATGAAATTATCT